CTCAGTGGAGCAGAAACACTTCTGAGCTTGGGTGGAGGGAGTCACCCCCAGCGTTCAGGAAGCCCTATTGCTTGTACGCAAGGGTCCTGTGGCTTGTTCTGTGGCTTCTGTGGGAGATGGCTTTGTGGGCACTCTAGAGCTGAGGATACTGAGAAGTGACCCAGGTGAGGCGGTCACTGGTGCCCTTGGACATACACTGCTGCTCTTGCCTGCTCTAGGAAGCTCTGCTCCTACCCTTCCCTTCCAGATTGAAGTTGCGGGGAAAATGCATTATTTATTCATTGAAAATTCATTCTGGAATGGATAGCCTTCTGAGATGTAATTAGCCACGTTATTTCTCTCCATTAGCAGTCCCTGGTGTTTGCTGGAATTTCTTGTCCTTTTTCCTCTCCATTTCACTCTTTCCATCCTCTTTACAATCTAGGTTGCCGCACTTTTCCACCCCTCCCCCAGTCATCTCCACAGGCTGTGAGTAACTACCTTAAAGTATGGAGAAAAGTCCTAGCCAACTCCCCCTCCCCACAGGGCTGAAGGAGCACAGTTCCTGGGCCGGAAAGGGGCTTAAAGATGCCCACCAGGGCCGACAGAATAGGGGAGGCAGCTCCACATGATGAGAGATTGCCTGACTAGTGGCAAATCTGGCAGAACTAGGAAGGTTCCTGGCTCCCCACGTCCTAGCTGGGTCATCCCAGGCAAGTAACTTAACCTCTCTGAACTTCTGTTGTCCTAGTAGGGTGTTCAAAGATGGCACTCACTTAGGTGAAGCATTTCACTTGAGGTATGTATCAGATGCTCAATAAAGGGACCTATGGTTGGGATGTCCAAAGGCAAGACAGTAGTTCTGGGGTGCAAATGAGAGGGAATATGAGCCTCAGGGAATATGAACCTGAATTGCTTTGTGGTGCTTCAGGGGCTGGGTGGGGGAAGGTAGCAAGGAGAACATGAGCAGCATCCTGGGGAGCAGGGCTGGGTGGGCTGGGGTGGAGAGAGTTCTCAGGAGCTCAGTCTCAGCTGCCCTTGTAGCTCTGGCACCATGATAGCTGGCTGGGAGGTGGGCTCCCCAGGACCTAGGAGATGGCCCATAGTGCATCTATGGCTGGAGTACATAATCCCTTGGCATGCCACACAGTTCAGGGGACTTCCTGGTGGCTGGGCTGGCTTTTGCTCTGGGAACCTGCACCCTCTCCGTGTTCAGAAGACAGCTGTCTCCTCACACCCACCCTCCTCCTGCTCCCCTCTTGTTGGGGACACATGATGTTCAATTGTCTCCAGCATTGTCAGAAATACCACACTCCATGGGGGACAAGGGCAGAAAACCTGAGGCCCAAAATCTAAACTAATCCCTGCCCCTCACAAAGAGGGGCAAAGAGAAAAGCAAAGCTTCAGCATAAAAGATTGCCTGCGGGCTGGAGATGTGGCTCAAGCGGTAGCGCGCTCACCTGGCATGCATGCGGCCCGGGTTCGATCCTCAGCACCACAAACAAAGATGTTGTGTCTGCCGAGAACTAAAAAATAAATATTTAAAAATTCTCTCTCTCTCTCTCTCTAAAAAAAAAAAAAAAGATTGCCTGCGCTTGGCAGTGAGATAAAAATCAGAGCACCTGTGATTTATATCAAGAACTGGAGTGCCCCAGACATAGACAGTCCTGGGGAAGCATCCTTTGAAATGGCTGACACCTGTTAGCAGGGACTTGCTTGCATGGCATTTCACAGAGTTGTGTCATGTTGCGTTGACACGAAAGAAACGGGAGTCAACTTGGTTTTGAACACTGGCCTTGCCTGCTTTTATAAGAATTTGGTCCCCTAGGTTCCTGAGACACACAGAGAAACAGAAACTGACAGGCTCATGGGATCTTTGAACTTGGGCATGGATATTACTACGGGCCTTGAGGAAGCAGGCGGCATCTTGACTCAAGTGTAGATCACAGAAGGAAACTTTCATGGTGACTTTTATGGACAAGACTCAAGTGTTAGTAATAATAACAGCGATGCTGAGGATAAAAATAACGACCATGCACTGGGTGCCTCTGTGATCCTGGACCATGCTGGGCTCTTTACGTACATGGTCTTATTTGCCCTTCAGTTCTGGGAGGCATTACCATCCCCCATGGCACAGAGGAGGATGCCTAGACTCAGGGGAAGAGAATGACTTCAATACTGCCTCCAGGAAGGCACCTCATCGTGTGGAGGGTAGCAAATGGCATAACAATACCTGCCGCCAGGAGCAGCAGTCTCAGGGAGTCAACCCCCTCCACAGTTGGCAGATGTTGCCAAGAAACACCCAACTCACACAAGCACTGGTGGAACAACATTTTACTCCCATGGAGAAGAGACAGAGCAAGATCAATAGTGGGTGTCTGTCCCCTATGGCCAGGGCTCTCCACTCACTGCTGACACGGGGCCATATGGTCTGCAGATACCCTTCTCGTGCTGCCGGTGAAGGACCCGTTCCCTCCCCACCTGGAATAGATGGAGCAGTGGGCTTGGCCGGGTGCCATGTGACATGTGACGCACAAGCTTACGCACAATAAAGGAGCCCAGCCCGGAACAGGGAGTCAGTGTTCCCACATAAGATAAGCCCCACACCAGCTGAGAGTCCTTATCTCTTGGTAAGGAAGGGTTTCAGGCTCACACAGCCACTGAGCAGGGGCCGACCAGACTGCCTTCCGCACAGCTGGCACCCAAATCATTTTATTGGTGGGCAGAGTCTGAACTTGAACCTGGGTCATTCTGGCACCAAAGCCTATGAGCTTCCTCGCTGCATGCACCTCCTATCTGAGCTGGTAAGGTCCTGCCCAGGCACCTTTGAAAGCTGCCCTCCTTTTTCACCAGCACAGCCTCATCAGCTCACAGACGGCCAGATTCATCAGAGAAAAGATGGGCCAGATGGTCGTCTCCAGGACTTCAACACAAACACCAAGAATAATATATTCTTTTCAGTACTGGAGATCAAACCCAGAGCTTCATGGATGCAAGACAGGCACTCTACCAGCCCTAAGAATAATATTTTAAAACCTGGAATTTTTGTGCCCTAAAGAATCCCCATGTACGAAAATTTAAAGAAAAAAATGGATTCCTACCAGAGATGGAGACATGCATCTAAAGCCCTTGGGTGGTTATGTACATAAACGAACATGGCAATAATGATTTAGCCCCAGAAAAATAAATGGACACTATAAAGCCCTTTTAAGAATCTGAAAAAGAAGGGTAGGGACAGATCAAAACCCATCTTGCTTTAGTGCGGGCCCTGTGATTCTGTTTGGATATTAAACCTTTATGTGGTTACTGTGAGATTTTTGTAATATGCCTAAATGATGCTGGTTAATTTGGGAAGAGTTAGGACCTTCGATTTGCACACAGGGAGCCAGAGGTTAGAGGAAGTTCAGTCGATGATCCATATCCAACCACATTCAAATTTAGTAGTCAGATTTTTTCCAGCTCCCTGCCTCATTCCCATCTGCTCTGGGAAACTTATAGTTAACTCGCCATTGTCTCCATTGCTGATATGGAAGAACAGGAGCATCCATCACCCCAAATGGCAAGGAATGCACATGTATGTCTCCTGCTCCAGACATTTGCCTTGGAAACTTCTCACAGATCTCAGAAGGAAGCCATCCTGATGTGAAAAGCGTCCCATTCATTCCACCTCTTACCAACTGACCTCCTGCACTCCGAAGTACAGGGGAAGCCAGTTAGAGGGAAGAGGTGCTTAGCACCTTCCTAAATCAAGATGGGGCATTGGGGGGAGGCCGATAATAATGTTCTGTGATATGAAAGTCCTCCTGCAGTGCTGCAGGCCAGCAGAACAGCCCCAGTGAATGAGACAGTGAATTGTGTGCACTGAGGACTTCCATATGGACACTGATTCATTCTGTTAATAAGGATGTGGAAGCCAGAGGTTGACTGTATTCTGATTTCATGGCTGGAAGCTCTGTGGCTCAGAAGGAGGGGGATATCCAAATTTGAGGTCAGAGTCCAAATTCCAATTTGGAGCTTCTGATTCCAATTTGGTTCGTCTCATTACTATCATCTTCTAATGACTAAGGATGCCTTCCAGTTACATGGGACTCGAGTAGAAGTGTGAGCAGTGCTTAAGACTGGGAATGGTCATTCTGAAGCCATGAGGAACCAACTCCCTGGATGCATTGGATGAATAAGGGGCAACTACCAAGTGCCAGGCAGCAGCAGGATTGGCACTGGGAGGAGCAAGGACAAAAGAATCTGACATTATCCTTGCCCCCAAAGGAGTTCGGGTAGAGGGGAGATGGCACATGCACCAATCTCTGTAATCTACACAGAGAGGGAAGTGAGATGAGATCCAAGAAAGCATCATTCATTCTTATTCAATTAAATCATTCATACAGTCATCAATCTGGCTGACTGTCTTAGGTCGAACAAGACTTGGGCTCTGAATACTAGGCAAATATAACTATCTTCCAGAGGCTACCATTCAAACACTAAATCTGAGTTACTCAAGGAGATTTATCAGAACATATTTCTAGGCCCCCAGCCCAGACATACTGATTCAGAATCTTTGAAAGCGGTCCTCCAAAAATATGAAACATGAAGTTTAATTAGGTTTAGACTCTAGGTTTGGATACTGGTTGGGTGAAATAACAAGCTAAGGAAGTCCAGAGGGAGAGCCAGGAATAAGGTGAGAGGCTTCAGGGCCCACCTGTCTCAGGAAACCCACCCTGAGCAGCCCAACCCATACTGATCCCCACGCCCGCTGAGTCTAACCCCCATTGCACATGCCACACGTACTGCAATTTTTCTGGGTGACTAGTAGTTTTGGTCCCGTGTCTTCTGTGTGTCTCACTTCTGAAGGTGAGCGCTCCCACTTTCTGAGGTCATTATGATGAGGGTTCCAGGGACTTTGTGACACACAGCAGACTGGCTCTGTACAAGTGTGGTTCAGGAGAGGCCCAGTTCCTCTTGGAACTGCAACTCACCTAAGCGGAAAGACACCTTCCCCTGCTAATTAAGCCTCACTCCAAGTGAGTGCTGGTCAGAGGCTGCTCTGAAGACAGCTAGCAGGAGCCATGACCACCCTCTCTCCTGAAAACAGCCTCTCTGCCATGCTGTCAGCCTCCTTCATCCTGGTGTGTGCTCTTCATCGGTTCCAAGTGCAGCCTTTCCCAAACACTGGTTTGCTCTGGGGCCCTTTCCCCTGCTGGGTGGGAAAGGCGAGACCCCTGAGCTGACATAGGCAGTTGTACTTGATCTTACTACCATTAGCAGGATTGAGACACCCGTGTCTCCTTTTACCTTATCTCTAAGCCAGTGTTACTTTCTCCCCAGATATAACAATCTGACTTAGTTCTGAGTTTTAGATTTGCCAATTCACTCCTGAATATGCTGGTGAATTTTCTCTGGTGCTTTTGCCAACAATTTCAGTAGTCTGCCACCAGGTGGCAGTAATGCTTTTGTTAGTAAGCAGTTCCAAACCTAGTTAATAAGATTCCTTAGAAATCCGCCCCCGTCATAAAAATTTTCCACACGGTATTTTTTTTTAAAAATCATAACTAATTATAATGCCCTCAACCAATCTCAAGTCTCATTAATCATAGTGATTAAGAGAGTCATGCATAAAAAAATGCAAAATGGGCACCTCTTTTCCAGAGTTTTAAATGTTATTGCTTTACTGCAGATTATCCCCAGGTCTTGATTTAAATTTTTTATGTTCTCTGAATTTAGAGAAGGCTAATAATAATAAAATAAGCTGTCACGCAGCATTTATCGTGTACAATGACTGTCCTAAATGCTTTATGCATTCATTCTCACCATAGTCCTATGAGATAGATGATGCTATTATCCTCATTTTACAAATAAGAAAATGGAGGCACAGAGACTTAGAAATTTGATGACAGTCACACAGCTAGTAAGTGTAAAGCTGGCATTCAGATCCATGCAGTGGGCTGCAAATCCATCTCATACACGAGAGAGTCTCCAAGTGTGGAGATGGTCACTTATGATAACAAGGAGAGTGTCTGTGGGGTTGGGACAAGATGTCAGGGTCAACCCTGCTACCCAAGGGTAGGCCAATGTCAATTTCTCTGTACCTTCTTGGTCCTCTACATCCTATTTTGATTCAGAAGATAAAGCATGAATGATTTATTAAAGAATTGATTATTATTAAAGATTGATTCTCAATCCAACCCTATCAAACACACAGTGAAATTATTCCCATTTGGGGCCTGTGAGCTCTTGTCTTTTATTTGTGGTGCTATTTACTTTCTAATGTCATTCATCACATGGTCTGTGGACCAGCGTTAACACCAATCACCTTCAAGGTGTCAGGGATGTATGATCTTAGGCCACGCCCTGAATTTCTGAATTAGAGTCTATAGGTAGAAAGACCCTCAGCTGGGTGCCCTGGCATATGCCTGTGATCCCAGTGACTGGGGAGGCTGAGACAGAAGGATTGCAAATTTGAAGCCAATCTGGACAACTTAGCAGGACTCTGTCTCAAAATAAAAAAGGCTGGGGATGTAGCTCACTGCCAGAGTATGCCCAAGTTCAATCCCCAGTACTGAAAAAAGGAGGAGGAGGAGAGGAAGAGGAAGAAGAAGAAGAAGAAGAAAAAGAAGACCCTAATGTGATTTGTATGCAAACTTGCCTTGAACACACGTGCTCATATTCAGGTACCCAGGAAAGTCGAGAGTTTGAATGTTAGATCATCTAGTCAGCTGCTGCTCTCTGCCCTCAGCACATTTCTTTGTCTGCAATGTGATATTCAAGATCCTCTTCAACAGGAGGGGCACCAAAGGGAGAGAGGAAGCTTTCCCTACTCGAACAGAAACCCAAACTCCTACTTATTATGATATAAACATTTTGAATTGCTTTGCAGGCAAAGCACTTGCCTTCCCCCCACCCCTGACTCACACACAAGCACACACATACAGGTGTGTGCACACATGCACAATACACACACACACCTTATCTAAACTAGAAACGGTACCCTGTGATGAACTGTTCTACATTTCCAGGATATATAAACTGGAGCACAAGAATGTGTTTAATTAGTGCATATCTTGTGTTTTTCCACTACCCAAGCAGTTTATATTATTATAGAAAAATTTGAAAGTACAAGAAAAAGGAAAAAAATATTCCTATTATTCAAAGCGTATCACTGTTGTTTCTGACATAGAGGATGTTTGTGTAATTTTTTCCCAAACAATTTTTACAGTGGTTAATAAATGCTATATCAGAGGTGATATAGATTTTTTATAATATGTGACATAATACGTAGGTTGCACTGTGAGTATGTGGTAGTGCTATAGAGTACAGTACACAGACTATTGAATATCTAATTCCTTATTTTGCTTTTCTTGGTTAACATTTGTATTTTTCCAGATGATTATTCATTCCTTGTGAACCTCTATTTTTATGTGCCTCACAGTATTCCATGGTGTATATAAACCATAGTTTACTTAACTGTTCCTTTATTGGAGCACATTGACTGCTTGTCATTTCATTTTGGTAAGTAATGTGCAATGAAAATTATTGTGCATACAGGATTCTTTTTTACTTATTTTCAGTAATTTCCTCATGAGTCAGAAGCTGTGAGCTTTGATTTCTATTGCAAAGTGCAGAGCGTGTCATTTAAAATTCACTTTGAATGAAAAGAAAAGCCAAGGCCCCTCACAGAGGGCTGAACTGCTTGTCCTCGTCAGGTGAAGAGAAAACCTCCCATTGACAAGACGGAATGGGATAGCTTCTTCGACGAGAATGGTCACTTGGCCAAGTCACGGGACTTCATTTGTGTTAACATCCTGGAAAGGGTATGGTCCCCAAGCTACCCTTGGCCTTGCCCTGGAATTGGGGGGACAGAAGTGGCTTGATGTTGGGTGGAACTCTTTGGCAGGGCTCCCACCTCCCAAACCCACCTCCCACCCCCAGGGTCTGCACCCCTTCGTGAGGACAGAAGCCTGGAAGTTCCTCACAGGCTACTACTCATGGCAGAGTTCCCAGGATGAGCGGCTCACAGTGAACAGCATGAGGAGGTAGAACATTACAGATCCTCTGTCAGAGGAGGGTGGCTGGTGCTACAGGTGGCAGACACTGCCCACCCTAGCCTGCACATTCAGTCTTCTTTCCCTATTTGGACTTCTCATTCTGGAAGACAGGACCCCGCCACCCCGTGCTCCCCACCCAGGCCCCTCACACAGCAGGTGCAGCCAGGTCTGAGCCAGCACCTCCGCAGTCAACCCCAGGCATGGGCTTAACCCCAGCAACTCTTCTCATGATCCATTCCCCCTGATCCCATCCTCCCCTAGGCGTGTGATAACTACCTCTGAAGCAGCCCTAGAACTGCTTCTCCCACCTTCTTTCCCTGGCCGCATCCCTGCCCCACCTCTCAGCCCCATGGCTGTGCTGCCTCCCCTGGGTCCAGACTTCCACCTCCCGACCCATGCCCACATCTCCCCGCCCCCAAGTGCCCAACAGGAGAGTTTAAAACATCCCCAGTGGTACAACTAGTAATATTTCAGATAATATAGTCTCTCCGCCAAGGCCTATCCTGGTCTTGACTCCTCCTGTTTCAGCACCTCACCTTCTAACCGCACTGTCTGGCTGACTGGCACCCCATTTGCTCACCCCACCCCTCTGCTCTTGGTCTGCTCTTTGTCTTCCACCCATACTGGGCCTCCCCATCATCTGCCCTCTCAAAATCCACCCTTCCTCCAAGGCTCAGATTGGACAGGGGACTTCCTCCAAGCAGCCCTCCCAGACAAGGGAGCCAGGATGTGTTACTTTGCTAACACACAGTCTTTAAAGTTAGAGTCTACCTGTGTTAGTCTTCTAAGGCTGTGAAACAAAGTTTCATGGACTGAGAGGCTGCCCATAACAAGACAGTTTGTCCCTCATAGTTCTGGAAGCCAGAAACCCAAATCAAAGCACTGGCTTCCTGCAAAGGCTCTGGAAGAGAGCCCTTCTTCACCTTCCAGCATCTGGGGGTTCCCATGTTCCCTGGTGTGTGGCTGCTTCACTCCAATACACTGGACCCTGGTGAACTGACTTGTGTCCTACATGAGCACATGACCATCTGTGTGTAACTCTTGCAAGGAGAGTTGCCATTGGATTTGTTGTCCCCCCAGAATATCCAGAATGGTCTTATCTTTAGATCCTTAAATGATCACATCTGCAAAGAACCTTTTTCTAAATAAGTTCACATTCATAGGCTGTAGAGCCCTTCTTCACCTTCCAGCATCTGGACATACCTTTTTCAAGGTTACCGGTCTGCCCAGTATACCAACATATCACATTTTAATAATAAGCACAAACCGCCATCTAATCAAATCCTCCCAATTCTGAGGCGTAGGTGCCAATATCATCCCCATTATACAGATGAGGAAACTGAGATTTAGAGAGGGAAAATGACATCCCCAAGCTTTGACCCCAGCAGCAGACACTCAGTTATTAAGCTGTAGAGCCAGGATTCAGGTGCAGAGGTTGGCCTGCAGAGCTCAGAGGTTAAACCATCTCTATTTTGCACTCCAGACCCACATTAAAGAATGTTGGGGGCTGGCACAGGATGAGATGGGGGGAAACATCACAGCAGGGGCAAGGTGGGCCAGGCTGCCCTGTAACCTCCTTGGACACAGCAGCTGTTGCAGCTACTCAGAGTTCTCTTCCCCTCTGAACAGAGGGAGAGGCCACCTTGCTCAGCCTCGATTCTGTTCTCACAGGAAGAACTACAATGCCTTGTGCCAGATGTATGAGAAGATTCAGCCCCTTCTGGAAAACTTGCACCGGAACTTCATAGAAACTCAGAACAACATTGGTGAGCAGCGAAGAATGAGAGAACTAGGCGGGGGTGGGGGGGGGGGGTGCTTGGCGAAGTCATTCCCACCCCCTTCTCAGCCATTGCCAGGACTGGATGGTTCCTGCCATCCTAGGAACTGCCTTGATTTGTGTCTGGAATTTTTCCATCTACACTTGGCTAATCCACCTGCTAGGTCTGTAGGGTGCCCCTAGACACACAGAACTTTGTCCCCACCCCACCTTGAACTAGATTGGATTTGAATTGGATGGGGCCGGGCATTCCTGGCAGAGGGTATGGCCCAGAGGAGGGGAGAAATCCAGACAGCTGGCGGGGTGGGTAGTTGAGTATGGATAACTCTCTCCCAGTATGTCTTAGGGTCAGCCTCTTGGGGTAGGGGGTGAACTCATCCACGGACCCTCTGCTCAAGGTAATCTAGTGCAACCCCCTTTGCCCCCGACCTAGCATATGATCTCCAGAGACTCTATGATAAAGATCCCCTGGGGAATGTCCTCATTGACAAGAAGAGACTCGAGAAGACCCTGCTCCTGAGTTACGTCTGCAACAACCAGGCAGGTGAGCTAGAGGGCTGCCCCTGCCCCATTTCCTGGGACCAGGCCCAGCCATTTCCTCACAGTGCTCTCTCCTCTGCAGAATACCAGCGGGGCTTCCATGAGATGGTGATGCTTTTCCAGATCATGGTGGAGCATGACCATGAGATCTTCTGGCTTTTTCAGTTCTTCCTGCAGAAAACAGTGAGGACTGGGTCGGAGCTCAGGGACCCACTGCTCCCCTAACAACCCCTCAGGCTTGGGCAGGTGTTAGCAGCCTCTGCCATTCTCCTCAGCTCCTAGACAGACTTTTGAGGCACTGAGGAGCCTGGGAAGTCCCCCAGAGGGGTGGCAGGTACTGGAAGGTGAAGTGGGTGGAGCAATGCTCTGGGTCCACCTGTCACCAAATCTTGAAAGAGTGAGTGTGGCTGGCCAGGCCCAGTGATGGCACCCTTTCCTGGCATTCCCTTTCCCTGACGTAGCTCTCCTCCCTGTCAATCCTCTGGAGCTCTCTAAGGCTTCCAGAATAAAACCCAGTAGCTTTAGCTAGGCATTCAAGACCACCCCTTTTGTCTTGGCTACGCACTGCTCCCTCTACATGACCTACATTCCAAACACCTAGGGACTTTGGAGTGCCCAGGTACACCTACTGTGTCCAGGTTGAGGGATGTTGAAGGTGCTGTTCCCTGGAACACCCCACTGGGAAGTCTTCTTCATGACTGAGAGGCTGCCAGCGCCCCCTCACTCACCTTCTACCCCTTCAACAATGTGCTTGCTGCCCTTCCCTTTGTCCTGATTGGCCCTGATGGAATAGTGTGTATGCGTAGAGCTAACAGGTCTCACTGGACTCTGAATCACATTGGAGACATCTCTGCATCCCTAGCCCCTCCACACACACACACAGTAAGATGCACACAGCACGTCCATGGCCACCCATGCATAAATATATACTAATATACAAACAGGCACACCTGCACACACAGGCCACATCATAGATATAGATGAGTTATGAGTGTGTACTCGTGCACACACACTCACGTAGTAACGGGGACCTGGCCTATGGCCAGTCACACAGAAGGCCCCGTGGTTGGAGCTGGGGGAAGTGGGGCTGATTCTTTTGGTGCCCTCAGCTGAGAAGGACTCGGTTTCCCTTCCTGCACCAACCTCGTGCAGGAGCACAGCTGTGTCATCAACATCGGGGTGGGCAAGAACCTGGACATGCTCAACAACCTGATCACTTTCCTGGACCCTGTGTTTGCTGAGCACCTAAGTGAGTGGTCCCCATCTCCTGGCACCTCATATCCACCACCAGGGCAGGCATGGGAGGGGCCAAGCCCAGCTACAGCAGCTGCCCTTTGTCCTGGGGAGAGGGAAGGCTTGGTGGATCTTCTGATCAGGCCCTGGGAGGTCTGCACTGTTGAACGTCAGCCCTAAACAGTCTCCAAGGGCAGGTGGAAAAGTCACAGCCAGGGTCTTCATGATTCCCAAGTGTCTTGTGTGCTCTTGGTTATGACCTCATTTGTGTGTGTTGGCTTCATCGTGTGTGCTGTCCCCCTTTTCCCCTGACCTCAGCCTCCTGGGCTGCACCTGCTTCTCTCCCCACAGAAGGGAAGGGTGCAGGGGCCGTGCAGGCCCTCTTCCCCTGGTTCTGCCTCTGCTTCCAGCGCGCCTTCAAATCCTTCGATGACGTTTGGAGGCTCTGGGAGGTGAGGTACTCAGTTGGGGACCCGTGGGGGAGGCTGCACCTCTCGGGTGGCAGAAGCTGCATTTTTCCTTGCCTCTCCTTTCATCCTGGCTTTGGATGGAGTGTGGTGGCTTGGGGATTATTGAGGCCAGCAACCCTGCTTCTACCTTGTTGGAGGAAGCTAGAGCTTCAGTTTGTCCATCCTTCCATTCAAAGCAAAGCCCCACTGGCTGTGCCTTCTGGGCCTATGCATGAGGCCTGGCCAGTGTCCAGCTGCCTGCCAATCTGCCCCTCTACTCTCACTGCCCTGGCTGCCCTTTGCTTCACATTTCCCACCACTAGAATGATGGCCCCCAAGGATACCCACAGTCCTCTGCCATAGTTCCCCAGGGCCATCAGCAGATGAACTTCCTTCAGAACATATCCACCACTCATCATTGCCCTGCCCAGAGACTGCCACTGCCTTTAGAATCCAGTCTGGTGTTGAGTGCCCCATGAGTGAGCTTCCACTGGCCTGGCCCCTCCCTCCTGGACTGCTGGTCTCCTTGCCCAAGTCCATGATCAACACAGGCCTTCAGTGACACTGCTGGTTTGTTGAGTTTCTATCAACTTTTGCTTTGCCAAACTCAACTCCCCTCAAATGCTATAGTGCCCCAGTACCCCATCCCACCAGTGAATTCCACAAGGCCTTTGTCTGAATCTCCAGTAGCCATCATAATGCCCAGAGCTGCAGGGGTACCTGTGAGCACTTACCCGAGCAAGTTAGTGAGCGAAGGCATCAGCAGGCCCAGGAATGGCTGGTCCTGGGCATGCGGTCGGTGGGGCTCACCATCCTCAGGATGTCAGCAGTCAGGCAGTGGGCCCCAGGCTGAGACCACTTATCTCCCGCAGGTTTTGCTGACAGGAAAGCCCTGCAGGAACTTTCAGGTGCTGGTGGCCTACAGCATGCTGCAGATGGTGCGTGAGCAGGCACTGCTGGAGAGCATGAGCGGAGACGCCATCCTCCTGGTGAGAGCACCCACAGGCCAGGACCTGCCCTGGCCTCTGGCAGCCCCAATACCCCACCTGCCATGGCTGAAAGACCCAGGCTTATGGGGCACTGGGCTTCCATGCCACCTTGACTTTGGGCAGGAATAGTGAAGAGACCTGAGCACTAAGCACTGTGCTGAGGGCTTTTCCTAGACTAGCTGGTTTAGGCCTCTGACAAGCCCAACACAGAGGCGCTACAAGGACCATCCTTAGTTAGCATTGCAAGGAGTCTGAGACCTTGAATGGTTTATCTTCAACTCTACTGCCTTGTAGTTAACCCTGGGCCCTGGGGCACTCCTGTTGCAGGAGGACCTAGAGGTTTCCAACTCTTTTTAAAAATAGAAATCTTTGAGAAAAAAATCCTAGGTGTCCTCCCAATTATAAACCAAGATCTCCTTAGAAGTGCCTGAGACAACTGGTGGAACGCCAGAACACCCTAGACGACCCCTGTGTGAAAACTGTGTTGATCATTCCTCCAAATATGAAATTTCAGGCACTGTTTCAGGCAGATTGGGGAAAGGTCAAGGGACCCCCCAACAACTGCCATGAACAGCGACCTTCTTCCCTTGTGTCCAAGAGCACAGGGAGACATGTTTGCCTACACACACACACATACACACACACACATGCACACACACACACACACACAACCCTGGCATCTTCCTACAGGCCTGCAACAAACTCATCGACCTTGATGCTGATGAGCTAATCTCTGCCGCCTGCATGGTTTATGCTGAGCTCATGCAAAAAGATGTAAGTTGCCCAATATTTGCCCACCTCTTCCCCCCTCTCCTCCTAGAAGCCTTCCCCAGCTTCCCAAACCAAGCCCACAGCAGACACATTCAACCTCAGAAACAGTCTGTGCTACGTCCTCTGCTGCCAGCCCAAGGAAGTTTTCCTGCATGGTCTTTTCTCTGTGCCCATGTGTAGCTCCACCTCCCTGGATAGACTGGAATTACCACCTCATCCCCATCCCTGTGTCCATCCCCGTGGGTCTGGGCACAGGCCTGGGCACCCAGGAGCTCAGGAGTATGTCACTGGCTGGATGAACTGAAGGAGAGCAACAGACCAATGTGTGTCTCCCTCACTCCTGCTGGAACTCTCCTCTTCTCCAGGTTCCTCAGCCATTGAAGAATTTCTTTCTCTGAGAACACTGATACCCACCATGGACAGATGCCTTCAATGAACCGAAGGTGGTTCTTCAGTCCTGAGGTCAGGATAAAGGCCGACAGGGTGATGGGGTGAGGGAGCAGGTAATACAGTCATGAAACAAACAGCCTTTGAGTAATGGTTTGTGGTGTCAGTATGTCTCCTTTGATATTAGGAGCTGGGGACACTTGGGACTGCACAATAAGAGAGCCTGATGGGCAGATCACTGTGAGGCTAGAGATGTGCTGGGATGAGATTGTGTGGGCCAGCAACATGTCCCCAACTGAGGGTTTTCCAGGGCTGCAGTAGATCCATATCTGAAATCAAATGGTTAAGGGCAGTGCCAACCTTGACACACTTCCAGGCACTTGTGCAAGACAATACTAAACATATCTCACGGGGATTAGTCTGCACCTGGGACTCAGGTCCCAACAAACTGACCCCGGACATTGCTCCCCTCACCCCCATTGCTCCCCTTATTCTTAACACACCCATCAATCACACAACTAAGTTATTTTCCCAGGCTTCTTCACTGTCAGTGGAAAGACCAGCAGGCAATCCCCCTCCTGGTTTCAAAGCCCCTTCACAACTGCACCTTCATTTCTCAGCCTACAAATGTTTCCTCAAGTTAAGTATTTCTCAGCCTTACTTCTTCTTCTGGGGAGTGCTACTTGCCCTTGCCCAGGAAGCCAGTCTCTACTTGGGTCAGAGGCATGTCTCACCTGCTCCCATATGCCATGCACAGCCCCAAGCCCCACTGCCCAGCCTGTCCATGCTCTGTCTGACCTCTCTCTGGGTTACCCTGAGCACAGACATGGAGAAACACCAGAAGGGGCTGAACCTATAAAAGAACTGGGGTTGGGGCTGGGGTTGGGGCTCAGAGGTAGAGTGCTCGCCTAGCATGCACGAGGCACTGGGTTCAATCCTCAGCACCACGTAAATGTAAAATAAAGATATTGTGTCCACCTTAAGAATAAATATTTTAAAAAAAAGAACTGAGATGGCTGGATGCCCCCTACCAGCTGCTCAGCAAAACACACACACACACACACAGCCCTACCCTAACCAGTGGCTACTCTTTTTCAGTAGGGCTGATGGATGAACAGGAGAGAGCCATTGGTTTTTCTCTAGACTGGTCTTTGCGGGTAAAGCATAAACCATACTGCTTACACTCTAGTCAACCACCCCTCCCTCCTGCTCCCATCCTGTCATTCTCAGTGACCATCATGTAAAATATACCGTGTCCCTAGTTATTGTCTGGTCTCCTCTTCCATTCGTGGCTGTCTCTGAATCTCTTAGCTGTTTGTCTGTGCTGGGAGGTAGGGGGTGTTGAAGAAGGGGGCCCTGTCCCATCTACAACATCTTCTTTGTGGGATTAAAGAGCTAGCATTTTACTGATATTTATATATCGGTAAAAATTCATCTCTCTCTCTCTCTCTCTCTCTCTCTCTCTCTCTCTCTCTCTCTCTCTCTCATACTGGGGATTAAGTCCAGGAATACTTTACCACTGAGTTACACTCCCAGCCCTTTTTGGTTTTATTTTGAGACAGGGTCTCACTAAATTGCTTAGGGTCATACTAAATTGCTGAGGCTGTCCTTGAACTTGCAATCCTCTGGGGTCTCCTCAGCTTCCTAAAAGCTAGAATTACAGGTGTGTGCCGCCACGCCTGATGGTAAATTCGTATCCTGTGTTGTCCTTAGCTTTGGGTTCCCAAGACAGTTTCTTTAAATGAGGGTTCCTACCTACAATGCAGTTCTCCAAGAATGAATCCATGTTTGTGTTTTTACCAAACAACCAGAGAAGCAGAGTAAAAGACATCTTGCTAAACTAGCTTTGGACTTGGGATGAGAAGAGTCAATAGAAACATAGATGTACATTTTCTTATGGTCTTTTTGGCCTGGTGGCATTTGTTGACCTATAATTTGGGGTTGGAGTCTATACACAATGCCAAACATCTAGTTATCTCACAACTAAAAAGATCCAAAAACTCACTACTAAATCTATGGTTTCCAAACCTGTTTTTAAATCACTGGAGGCCTGTTAGTACACTTCCCAGGAGCCCCAGGGAAGAAGTTTGGGTGGACCTCTGTGGTCCCCTGTTGAACCTCATGTCCTTCCCTATGGTACCACCAAGGAACCTCTGGCCAACTAGGGAGCATGTTTGAAATTTTCTATTAGGTCTTTAAGATGAGGAGGATCAAATATTGACACTGAATCAATCCAGCTTCTGAAGAATCCCAGGTGACAAAGTGATGAAGGAAAAGATCTGAGAAGAGCCCACCTTCATCTGCCACACTCCTGGCCCAGCAGGTTGTAGATTAAGATCACCTGTGAGCCTTGTGCATAGCCTGAAGCCAGCATGGGGTTTCTGCTTGCTTAGTTTATCACTATAGCCCTGTGTCGGGTTTATTTTAGTAAGGTCCAGCCAGGGACACACTGCTGGACTCCTAGAGCCTAAGTTTGCTTTATTATGGAAACTATGTGGGTCTAAATAGTTTATTTTAATGCACATTTATTGAGTACTATCTGTTATGTTTATACTGTGGTAATAAAATGTCTTAAACTGAGTAATTCATAAACAGAAATTTCTTGCTCACTGTTCTTCAGGCTATGAAGTCCAAAATCAAGGCACCAGCAGATTCAGTGTCTGGGGAGGGTTTGCTCTGCTTCCAGAAGGGAGCTTGTTGCTGTATCCTCACATGGCAAAACAGAGGCAAGACCACTCCCTTCATCCTCTTTTATAAGATAATTAATCCCATTCAGTAGGGTGGGGCCCTCATGACAATCACTTCTCCAGAGACCCTCCTCTTAATATTATCACACTGAGTTTTAGGGGGACACCAACATTCAGACTATGACAAGTACTAACCGAGCTGCCTGCTGTTCAAGTATGGAGATTCAACAGTTTGGACAAAAAAAGACACAAGTCGGGCGCAGTAACACACACTGTAATCCCAGCTATTCCAGATGCTGAGGCAGGAGGATTGCAAGTTCAAAACCAGCCTCAGCAACTTAGCAAGGCCCTAAGCAACTGTCTCAAATTAATTAATTAAATAAAAGAGCTGGGGATATGAATCAGAGGCTAAGAACTCCTGGGTTCAATCCCTGGTACCAAAAAGTAAATGAAAAAGAATTAAAAAGACATAAACCCTGTTCGTGTGACACTTGAGAGTTGAATGGGGACCAGTTATCACTGCAGTGACGGCCCTGGGCCTGCTCCTCGTACTCTGTCAGCCTTTTTACCTGCCCACAGCCTGGGGATTAAGTCCAGGAATACTTTACCACTGAATCTGCTGGTGCCTTGATTTTGAACTTCATAGCCTGAAGAACAGTGAGCAAGAAATTTCTGTTTATGAAATTTATGGGGTATGCCAGCTCCCCCGCGGCCTATACTCAGTCTCCTGTCTGGTCCTTTGCAGGGCAGACCCTCATCTCACAAGCCACCCTATTCTTGGCAACTGAGGACTCTCAGGTAGACTGAAATGTTCAAGGGCTGGACTGTTGGGGGCAGGGCCTGTTGCAGGAGACTCCATCCTAACTTCCTTTATCCTTCTTTAAGCCTGTTAAGTTTCAGAAAGGACAAAATACAGCCATGTCCACTACAACTTCTTTTGAAACAAACAAAAAAATGCATTTGACTTTTTTTTTTTTTTAACTTTCCTTCTTCAGGACCAAGGTCGGGCTGAAGTTCTGGGGTTACAAGAAAATCGGTCTGCAGGGATAGGAGGGAAGAAGCCGAGATAGTCTGGTAGTCCTGGCCCAGAAATGGCAATAGCAGAGCCTGGGAGACTGGAACCGGCCACGTGTATGATGGGGAAAGGGGATGGGAAGCACTGGCTCTGGGAGGCGAGGGGTAGAGGAGAGCAGACCAGGGTTTGCCTCCCTTCCCTGACCCTCCCCTTGCAGAGCCCTCTCTGAACCTGCTTCAATGGCAGGGAGGTGGGGTGGGGCAAGGCCTAGGCAGAAAGAAGGGATTTCCTGCTTAATGTCAAGGGCTGCCCTGCCGCAGGCCGGCTATCAGGCACCTGCCCAGGAGGGAACGATTGATTTCTGAGACCTGAAACAAGAGCACTAGCTCCACCTGTCCTTCCAGAGGCTGAGGACTAGGGAGCCCACACTGGGGAAGAGACCAGCAACCGAAAATGATGGAAGCTATTAGCCGGGGTAGGAGGGTAGAGTCTCCAGCAGTGGCTTTTAGTCTGGGCTGTACCTGAAAAGCACCAGAGGGGCCTTTTAAAAATAACCATTGCCCAGGGCCCACCAATTAAATCAGAATAGCTGGGGGTGGGCCAGACTGCTGGTGTTTTTAAAAAGCTCCCCAGGTGATTCTCAAGTGCAGCCAGGGATGAGAACACTTGAGGAAAGAGCAAGAGCCTAATGGAAGATTAGAGAGCATCTGTTCAGACCCCTTCTTTCCACACATAGGGCGTCCCAGGTCTGCCTGGGATGGGGAGGGACTTGCCCAAGGTCTCACAGCAAGTGGACTTTGGTGCAGAGGAGACAGGAGTGTCTGTGCAGGGCACTGCCCTGAGAAGTAGAGCTATCTCTGGAGGCACCTCCAGCCCCTACTAGTACTTCCCTCTGGACTGCACTAAAATACCTCGTGCCATCTCCTGGTGATTCTGAACTGCTCCCCCCTGACCCCCACCTTAGAGCCTTTAGCTGAATAACTCTAGAATTAAGCATTCCAGGTTCTTTTCAGAACCAGCACATAAAAGAATCTTTAGGGAATTAATAAGCCTCCAAGTCTCAAAGGCCTGACCCTCACCTGCAGTGATATGCAATGGTACCCAAACACCCACAGAACAGCATTCAGAAGCTGGGAGCAAATGGAATGCAAATGTATGCAATCATTATGCAAACAAGGGCAGCCACCGATTAGTGGCCTCCATCCTTCAACCAAACAGCAGCTGTCTCTTTAGGTAGAGGCATGGATGACAGGGAGAGCTGAATCGATTCCTGTCAGAAACATCCTGAGGAAGGGTCAACTCTCAGGTCCATAGAGGGATTGTTTGGACACCTGGCTTGCTGATGTTCT